CAGGATTTTTGTTCATATTAACGTCTTGGAAGGGAGAGCTGGTTATGCATTTCAGTCACTATTTCATATTTATTCTGTTGTCTGGCAACAGAAACAGTAATATATATAAATGAAAACAGTTTTATTGGGAATTTGGCTGCATTAAAATACAGTATGTGAGCTGAGCACAGAGACAAACAAATGTAAAAGGCAACAGACGCGATGACGCCATGGATATGCGAATTAGCGTATGACGTCATCTGGCGACATTTAGCGACTTTTCAAACTGGCTTCAGCTACTTTCTATTGAAAGAAGTTGGCAACACTGATTTGAAGGTTTGACTCCAAGATGGTCAAATCTCTCTCAGAATATATAATACAATCTTCTGTGTCTGTTGTTTTTAGTTATACGTTTTCATTATTAGTTTGGAGCTCTTTAGAGGTGCTGTATCCGCACAACACCTTTAAGAAAACTGTTTCTTATTAGTTATCCTCTTTTCATTTTATTTTCCCCCTTTCAACCTGCTGGAAAGATGAACGCAGGCTGCAACAGAGCCATATTAGAGAAAACTGCTTCAAAATAACATAAAATAACAATATCCCTCACATCTAGTCTTGAATTATATAATTAGACAGACAGACGCAGCCCAAACAACAAAAGCAGCCAGAAAGGTTTTGGTCTGTTGTGTTTATTTAAAATACATGGCAACATAATTCATTAGTACCGTTGCTAATCAGTTTTCCAGAAAAGGCAGAGAATACAGTTGTCTTTTTTTTTTTAATTCTTCGCCTTTTTGACATCAAATGTAAACCACATAACACAGCAACCTGTCTGCAGTGCAAATAAGACAACGGCTAATTAGCTGTAGACAGCAGCCGCGACCTTCCCAACACTGAAAGAAACAGCATCAAAACACTCGAATCAAAAGCTTTAAATAAAGCTCAGCTGAATGATGATCAAATGCATGAGGAAAACCAGAAGAATCTTTTATTCTAAACTCAAAAAGCTAATAAAAAAACAACAACATAATAACAAATAAAACCAGTGTTTAGTGCCACTTATTCATCAAAGTGCATGTTCATTCAAACAGAGTGATTTAGTTTGATATATTTCATAATCTCATATGTACCTTGTTTCTGAAGTGCGAGCACAATGACAAAACCAAACCTATTTGGAAATATGACTGGGATTCATTGAGAAATGAATTTCATATATAATCATGGGACATTAGATTCTTTATACCTGCTGAATCGATGGTATTAATCAGTAATCACTTGATAAATAGCCTAATTTCACTATTTCTTTCAAATGAAAAAAAAAAAAACACCTGGAAAACACACTTTCCAAAAGGTGCAAGTTTCCTTAAAAGAAGCAGAATCCAATGTTTTTATTTTCAAAGTCAGGCAAGATTTCTCGATGAAATACACAGTAAGTGTCCCTTTTCTTTTCAGCACCTGAAACACTGATTCATTTTACACTACCGCTCCAAAGTTTGGAGTCAGCAAGACTTTTATTTTGAAAGAAATGAATACTTTTATTCAGCAAGGATGCATTCAATTGATCAAAAGTGATAAAGACATTTATAATGTTACAATATATTGCTGTATCAAATAAATTCTGTTCTTTTGAACTTTCTATTCACCAAAGAATCCTGCAAAAAATGTATCCCCACAAATGAATAAAATATGAAGCAGCAAAACATTGATAATAATAAGAAATGTTTGTTGAGCAGCAAATCAGCATATTAGAATGATTTCTGAAGGATCATGTTGCTGAAAATTCAAAAACCGTTGATCACAGGAATAAATTACATTTTAAATATACCAATGGAAAACAGTTATTTTATCTGCAATAACACTTCACAATATTACAGTTTTTACTGATCAAATAAATGCAGCCTTGGTGAGCATGAGAGAGAAATCTCTTACAAACCCCAATCTTTTGAACGATACTGTACTTGTGAAAATATGTTTGGTGAAGGAACGTGAGCGATCTGTGATAAACCACTAGTTTATCGGGATTCATTTGAACAAATGATTATTTTGAGCAAATTGATTGACTGCCATTTTAAAAGTTACCCCAATTCCACGAAAATGACGCTGGTGCTCAGCTGGGGGATCTGTGACTCTCTCGATTTAATTCATGTAAATAATTGTTACTGCATAACCTTCCTACAAATAACCACAGTGCATCACTGTGCTTAAATATAGCGGCCGAAATCACAAAAATAAAACCAGTGTTCGCAAGCCAAATGTAAGTCCCCGCATCAAGCATTTCCAGTTTAGACTGCTTTGATGACGATAATGCAAGCGATCTAGTTTTGATGTTATCAGTTCCTTATTTGAAACCAGCAGCAATCTGAAACGGTCTAAGAACGTTTCGCTAACGTACCCATTAGGTTATGAAAACATTTGACATTTTCTAAGAACATTCAAAAGGTCCAGTTTAAAAACAAACAAAAGGTCCAGTTTAAAAACAAACAAACAAAAAAAGTAAAAAAAAAAAAATATTTTTTTCTTGGTTATACGAACATAAATAAGCCAACATTCCATTTGATCATTTTGCAGACATTATGGAAATGTTACCATTGAATGTTCTCTGAAGTAGTAACATTTAAAAACGTTATACAAATATGCAACTGAAACATTATAGAAAAAAACATTCCATGAATGAGGTATAAATAACATTTTTGTGCTAATGGTTGGAGAACATTATTAAAGACCAGATAACTACAACAAATGCTTTATTAACGTTACTGGAAGAAGGTTTGTTCATAACTTGCCAGAGAAATTTGCCAGAATGTTAGCCAAAGTTATGAGAAGTCACTGATGTCTGTACTATTAAACTAAACTGTCCGTGTTATTCGAGTAGGTAGTTAAAACTGTTCAACTAACTTGCAAGATTCCCTTCAAAATGTTTCTCAACCACAACAACAGTTGACCTGAAAGAGATAAAAAGATTTTTTTCAAAACGTTGCATTTTGAATCACAATTTCTTTCGGAATGCACAAAATCAAGCATCTGACATTCACATACTGTACTTGCACATGGTATGTTTTGGGAAACTTCTTTTGGATGCTTGTCTAATGTTTTGTAAATATACATTTAAAAGTAACGTTCCCAAAATGTTTGAAAAGTATAAAATGGAATGTTCCAGTAACATATTTGCAAAACCAAGAAAAAACGTTCTAAAACACTTAAAAAAACAAAAAACGGTACATTTTGAACATTCAGAGTGTTTATAACTTTAATGGGAATGTTGGCAAAACATTCATAGAACATATTTTTGTTTGCTGGGAAATGCTTCTAAGCACAGGTGGAGAGCTGTAGATCCAACCACACAGTTGTGTGACGATTTTCGCAAATGTTTGTTGGAACTATGGATTCAGGAAACACCAAAATCATTGAACTATGTTGGTAATGACGGACCATAGTTGGCAAATAAGAAAACGCATCCAGAGCGGTTCTAGACTGGGCACCAGCTCCAGCACCGACATCTTGTCATGGAAAAGTGGAACATATGTAAAAAAAAAAAAATTAAAGTTACAAAAAATAAATCAATAGAAAAAAAACACTAATCCAAGAAACCTACTGTTCCCATGATGCCAGAATACATGACCGCAGCAGCATGCTCACGTGATTATGAAAGAAAGAACGGCGCTTTCATTCACCTGCTCGAAAGAAAAGAGCGAGTCGCATTGAATCTAAAAGGTGCTTCGATAACGAATGTCGCAGGATAAACAACCACAAAAACAAAAGCCAACGAATGGAACACAAAACATCTGGGGGGGGAAATGGTGAAAAGCGAGCAACCGAAACAGAACCGCATTCACATTATTGAGAAGTTCCAGTACGGGACCGGTAATGTTCATACAGGATTTGACACAACGGAGAGTGATGCAGCTGGGGCCCGGTGAAACGGTTAGTGTTCGTCTGGGCACGGGGACGAGGACAGGTAGCCGTTGGTGCCGTTGGTCCCATTAGTCTGATGTTTCTGAGAGGGAGGAAGAACCTCGTCTTCATCAGAGCTGGACTCAATGTCACTGCGGTCATCCTTTGACACCTAGGAAGATTAGAGAGACGGTTAAGATGACAGTGCATACTTTATCTAGCACTATATTTTGACAATTAGAAGTGACTTTGCTTTCTGACCACCCAGGTGTGACAGTTTTTTGACATTTTAGATGTTTGTGGTCAGTAAGACTTGTTAATGTTTTGGATAGAAGTCTCTTCTGCTCACCAATGCTGCTTTTATTTGATCAAAAATACAGTAGAAACAGCAATAGAGTGAAATATTATTACAATTTAAAATAACTGTTTTGTATCGGAATATATTTGAAAATGTAATTGATTCCTGTGATGCAAAGCTGATTTTTTTGGATTCTTTGATGAACCGCATTTATATGAAATAGAAATCTTTTGTAACATTATAAATGTCTTTACTGTCATTTTGGATCAATTTAATGCATCTTTGCTGAATAAGTGTTAATATCCTTAAAAAAAAATCTTACTGACCCCAAACTTTTGAACAGTAGTGTTTCTGAGAAACAGACCTTTAACATAACTCTGAGAAGTTAAATGCAGCCAGTACACAGGACAATGGTGTTTTTGTTTTTTTTGCTGCTAATTAAATGGCAATTTTGCACCAAACTCTTTTTTTTCAATCACCTACTTACATGTAAAGGATTCCATTTTCCCGCCTTTGATGGCAGCGATGAAGACAAAGACGAGAAAAAAGCACATAAACAGAGGAATACAGGTTAAAGTAGTTAGTGAACCCAGTTTGATAGCAATCAATCAAGCAATCGTGTAACAATCTGAGTTCTATATCAACAATCTCTGATTCTCTGCCAATGGTTACATTTCTGATTGTGATCACTGGATCATGAGTGCCTCATTTAAAGGCTGAGGTCATTTATTTAACATCATATTTATCTCCTATTAAAATACTCAGTTGCTCATGTACACACATTTACAAACTTCTTGTTTGTTTGATTTGTTTATATGAAACACCATATGGAGACACATTACACGTATGAAGCATGTGTGTGTACATAAGCAATATTGGACGTTTTATTTGCAGTATTGCAGCTATTAATACTGATATGAATTTTGCTGCTTCAGCTTGGTAACGTCAGTTTATTATAAAGCAATTTATTGCATTTTGATGAATGATTAAGAAAATGTATTTTTTGCAATAACATGCAGTAAGTTAATCATTCACAATAAGACCAGGAGCATGTACTAAAGTAAAAAATAGTCAATTTGATTTCATGCTGACTTTGAAAGCTACGTAATCAGCAGAAATTTCAACTCCCTCAGACTACATGTTAACTGTTTACACCCTTCATACATGCAGCAATAGCACTATTCAGACAGTAATTGTTTCTCATGGGGAAGTAAGGTCATTTCAACATTAACAAGAGCTAGATAGTGATTTTATTGCTGTCCAAATCCAGAATGTTTTTCCTCCCACCACCCGTGTGAAAATTCCCATCTGAATTACCTTCTGTTTTTGACAAGCACTGAGAGGTCGTGCTGTAATTTAATTGCCATTTGAATTAGGGCTGAACGATTTTGGAAAATAATCTAATTGCGATTTTATTTACCAATATTGCGATTTTAATATGCAATTTTTTTTAAAGCTCCCTATGTTCTGTATTATTAGTACAAAGACAAGCAATAAATCATTGTATAGTATGACCAACACAATATTAGACAGATTAAACATAAATGTTCTTTTCTGTAGGCCAGGCCGCTGCAAACGTATGTAAACACAGTTTAGCTGAGCTAATCGCTCTTTGCGTCACTTAGTTAAATCATCGCCCGTTACGTGCCTTCAGAGGCGCGTTTTAATTGCATCATTTCTCCTGTATCGGTGCTTTACAACACTCCCGGCTCTACCTCATTGATCTGTCCCTCTGATTGTTAGAAACGGTGAGTGAAGACCCTGGGGAAAGATGCCATTTTTTAGGCCAAGCAGTCAGACAATGATAGTGCTGAAATCTCATTTCACGACTCACTGCCGTGTTTGCAAAGCCTGAGGCAATGATGCATCCTGGGGAACGCTTTGGCTTTTGAGACCCATGCAGGCTGTCCAGGTGGACGTTAAAAGGCGGGGAGATAAGAACGTTAACAAATGACACCGGGGGCTAAGGTCACACTACACTGAGCTTAAGCTTCCCAGGTCTGCTCATTTGGGTGCTAATGGCTTATTGATCTGGAGCATTTCTTCTGAAGCAAGGCCGCGCAAACCCCGACGCTCAGCGGAGAACAGGCGAGCTGGACTTCTGCAGACACAGTTGTTCCTTCCAGTCCATTTTGTAGGATGTCGATCAATATGGCTCCTTAAACTGCTTTAAAACACTTATACATCTTATTCTGGGATTACTTTGAGAGCCTTTAAGGAACCAGACAAAAACGGCACACTCCTTAACGTCTGGGTTGTTCAAAGTGAGTTTTAGCTAAGGCAAAGTCAGACTAGAGAGGTTTTAAAAGAGACTTAAACATCTGCATCAAAAAGCAAACAGGTTATTCTGTCTATTTGTGCTGCAACACTATTGTTTCTTCTTAAAATAGGCATACATCAAGGATGCTTCCTAACTACATTAGTCAGTAAAGTAAAGTCAGTACGTCAGTATATTTACACGTACAGTGTAAATATAAAATCTAGTAGCAACAGCAGCAGCAAGGAGATTAATGGGTCTCAACTTCTCAGTCCCGTAGTGCCGCTAATACAAAACTGCGTCGCTAAACAACTGGCACTATTACTCAAAGATAATTGCTCATTACATCATCAGAACTGTATCGCCCGCCAGGCAAAAATCATATTGACAGAAAGCCATTTGTGGTGGTGTGTTGATTTACCAAGTCTCTTGTCTGTGGATTTCATTTTAACACAGCTCATTCATATTATTAATGGCCATGAAATGGTCTTTGTAATTCAATGTCTTTGTTTTACCTTCTCTTGTGAGCTCACTGGGGTTGTCATGCTTTGTGTAATATCTCATGCCTAGCATTGTGGCCTTTCTCCATGCTTTATGGATCAGTGTCAGAAATTAATATTTTATTAAGGGGCAATATTTGCTTATTAGATTTTTTTTGGTCACACTATTTTAAGGTCAAATTCTCACTATTAACTAACTATTAACAATGACTTTTGCCTAATTTGCTGCTTATTAATAGTTAGAGAGGTAGTTGTTAAGTTTAGGTATGGGGTTGGATTAAGGGATCTAAAATATGGTCATGCAGAATAAGGCATTAATATGTGCTTTATAAGTACTAATAAACAGCCAATTCTAGTAATATGCATTATAGTTAATAATGAGAATTGGTCCTTAAAATAAAGTGTTACCATTTTTTTCAATACAATTCTCATTACATTCTACTTACTATTTCTATTCCTTTTCACGGGCAAAATATGTTTTGCTTTAATAAAATCATCTCAATAAGAACTTGCATTATTAATTATGATAACATATAATGTATACACACTGTCAGCCAAAAGTTTGGAATTACAATTTTTTTTATGTTTTGGAAAGTCTATTACGCTGACAAAGGCTGTATTTGTAATCAATACATTAATATAAGTTTTTTTTTTTAATTGTAATTTATACCTGTGATGGCAAAGCTGACTTTTAATCAGCCATTACTCCAGTCTTCAGGATTCTTTGATTCTTTCAATGAACAGCATTTATTTGAAATATATTTTTTGTAATATTATAAATGTCTTTACTCACACTGTAAATCAAGGTTTTCACAAATACATGCTTTGAGCACCAATTCATCATATTAGAATGATTTTTTGCTGCTGAATTTTGCCATTGCAGGAATAAAGTACATTTGAAAAAATATCCAAACAGAAAACAGTTATTTAAATTGTAATAATATTTAACAAAATTAGATTTTTTACTGTATTTTTTATTGAATAAATGCAGGCTTGGTGAGCATAAAAAAAAAACACACACACAGTGTCCACTTATTCAAAAGTTCTTCATTAATTATATGTAATAAATTCTCAATCTGAAAGATAATGTTACCAAAAATCAACATCAAAAACAAAAATAGCTGAAAATAATTGTATGCCCCTATATTTCAAATATCTGGGGCATTTTCAATACTGAAGAAATGCAATGCAAATTTTGAAGAAAATGATAGGTGTGTGCAACCATTTAATCACCTCATTAAGACGCACAGCAAAAGCACTCTAAAGTAATTAATTTCTCTCTTTTTAATGAGGATATTATGCATACTGCCTTGCTGAACAAAAACTGTGCCACTCATCTGCAGAAAGTTCTTATGAATTTTTGGCCTTTGACAATAGTACCTCAACACAAATTTACATTTATTCATTTAGCAGATGAGTTATTCCGTGAATGTAAAGAGCACACAATAAGTGCCATATTGCGGCTATGGGAGGCAGGAGGAAATGAACAGGCAAGATGTTATCGAATGTCTCCATCCAATAACAAATTGCTTGTGCACACATTTTAATGTTCTCTCCATATTTGTGGCAAAGGTGGGCGAGGCGTGCCCCATAAGAGTGGGCTTTCTGGTGTCTACCATTTGCTCACTGATTACATTGTTGGGGGAGGGTGGGTGGAGAACAACAATCTGTGCACAAATCTCGGCACTGCCAAGAAACAACACACCGGTGGAATGAAGTCTATTCACGTGCCTATCCGTCTCCTTTCATCTCCCATCGTACTCTGCAGGTGGGACATCTCTGGCAACAATGCACAGAGACTAATGTCATCAATAGGGCTCTGCATGTTCTAAATCAAAGATGAAGCATTACATACACCTTGTTTCGCTTGAAAGGTAGAAAGATTGCAATTAACCAACACCTATTAATGACAAAACATTTTCACTGGAGTAAACAACAGGAAAAAAGGGTATACAGAATGATATGTAGAACAACAGAGATAGACAGAATGACAGAATAAAGAGACATGACAGAATATGTAGAATAAGGAATTACATATTGAATGATATATAGATATAAAAATAGAATGATGTATATAACAAGAAATAGAATTCTATTGTACATAAAATGACAAAGATATATCATATCTTTGGATATACAGAACAAACATATTCTAGATAACAGGCTTTATATTAGGGCTGAACGATTTTGGAAAATAATCTAATTGCGATTTTTTTTTTACCAATATTGCGATTGCGATTTAATATGCAATTATTTTTTTTAAGCTCTTTATGTTCTGTATTATTCAACAAAGACAAGCTATAAATCATTGTATAGTATGACCAACACACTATTAGATAGATTAAACATAAATGTTCTTTTCTGTAGGTCAGGCCTATATGTTACGATGAAATTGGGTGATGCATGAATTGATATGAATGACCTTTTTATTTAACAACTACAATCACAGTATATTGACTGATTTCTTGAACTTCCAACCTTGTAAGCAGCATGTAGGCTAATAATTATGACAACATAAAGCACTGACAAATAAGCCTGGTGTAAACATTAATATGAAAGTCAGTAACAAATCACACAAACTAAAGTAGATTGCAGAAATATAAAAACAAGTCTGTTGCTTTACCACACTCAGTATTTAGGGAATTCAAAGTCACTGTAATAAACATATAGGCCTATGTAAACATGTGAATTGCACTTTTTAAACACTGTCTGTTAACTTTGGACAGACTTTAAATAAATAAGAATATATATATTATTTCAGTAATGAAATGCACCGTAACGCTGTTACTCCGTGTGTAGCGTGCCAAGGTTGCCAGGTTTTCACAACAAAACCCGCCGAAATTGCTACTCAAAACTAGCCCAATCGCATTTCGAGGGGGGTCCATCGGTTCTTTATTTTACCGCATTCCAGGAGGTAAAATACACGTTTTTTGGAGGGGTTCCCCTGGTAAGATTCGCACTCTAGGGGCTAAATATCAAATTTTTGGAGGCAAACCGTGGACTTGGCAACACTGTAGCGTGCCAACTTGATGCTTCCTTGAAGCAGCGCTGCTTAGATCGATGGGTGTGTGTCATCAAAGTAACGCGAGAGCTATAAGAGAGCGTACGTCTCCTTATGCTTTCTCTCGCCGTACTTTGTCATACACCGATCGATCTTCAAGTCGAACACACCTCTTTACGCTCGCGTGTCACGTGACCGAGTGTAATCGCAGCCTCTGCGGTTGAAAAATAGCGTTTTTTTTCATATCGCGATATTATTGCAAATGCAATTAATCGTTCAGCCCTAATTTGAATCCACATCTTTTGTAAATCCTTGGTAACTGCTGTGCCATGTGGTAACTAGGCTTGCCGCGATAGATGGTGCTGACGGTGATACCGGTGTTAAGCCGCAACACCGGTTATGTCACTTGCCCACCGCGTCACCGACCCCCACCGTTGTTTTGATTTTTTATAGTAATAAAAATAATTTAGTTCAGTAAAAGAACAGACACTACAATTAAAAACTGAACGCGGCTGCTCAATGCAGCGTGCCGAACGACAGTAGCATCACAGATCAGATTTCTCCAGTGAGGAGAGTGAGTCGAGCTGACTGACAAGAAGAGTGAGGTGAGGTGAGACAGACAAGACGATCGCGGATGATTTAGTTTTGAAACGAAATGCAAAAGCGCCTGTTTGGCAATATTTTGGATTTTGAAAAGCCTGTTGACTTTTGCCGTTTATCTAAGGTGATTTTGGAAGTTTTTTTAAACATTCGTTTCTTATTTAATTGGTTCCACATTGTTTGCTGATTTTTACTTTATTTAAACTTTGCGTCATTTATTTATTTTATTTGACATCAAGGTGTATGCCGTGCCTCCAAGCTTTCTTACTCGTTTTGCTAATAAACGTTCTACGTTTCTTATTTATTTGGTTATATATTATACATGTTTACTTATTTCCAGTTTTGTATACCTATTAAACTTTATGCAAGTTATTTGTTATTTTAAATTAGGCATAGCCTGCCCTATAGCATGGTGTATTTGTATTTGTTTTGTTAATAAAAGTTATATGTTTTACATATAGGCTAAAGTGAGTTTGACGTTGTATTTTGTTGTTGCATTCAAGCAATTGAAGCCAAACTGCCGTTAATTCAAAAGTGAAAGTAAAATGCGCACGGCGCTTTTAAGCTATTTAAAAGCGACGGAAAGCGAGGAAAAGAGGGAAAATTCAAGCTAACTAAAAACGAACAATTGCTTTACGCCGAATTGCCGCTATTTAAAAGTGAAAGTAAAATGCGCACGCATATTTTACAAGCTATTTAAAAGCGAAGGAAAGCGAGGAAAAGAGGGAACGCACCGCCCCCACGGTGATACCGGTATTACCGGTGTTGTCACACGTCGATTAACCGGTGGGAAAATTTCCTCACTGTCACAACCCTAGTGGTAACATGCATGCATCTTAAATTTGGACACTTTTTTTTATTACTGAAATGCTGGAAACTGTTTAGAAGAAGAATATTGGGAGCTCTTAAGAAGAAAAAGAAAAAAAAAAAGACGACAAAATCACTAGGTTTTGAACTGGGCCATTTTTATGGCAGCAACAGGTATGCAATAAAATTTAAAATGATGTATTTATATAAATTTGGCCTTATGCAACAAATCATTTTACGAGTTGACCAAACAGTCAAATAGTTGCTTTATGTAAATAAGGCTGCATCCAACATTTTGAGATAAAATGCAAGACAAAACAATTGAAACCGTAGAGTGTCAATCCAGTTCCTATTATTAAATAAATAAACCAACTAAATAGAATATTATTTTCTGATTATTAAATTCATTGTCATGCTAAATGTGATCTGACCTGAGAAAAATGCATTTCCATGTTTTAGGATCACAGAACTCACTCCTCCACTGAGAATAAGGCCCTGTCCACACAAACCGCAGCTTTTTCTACGCAGTTAGGCCGTTTGTCCACACACAAACGCAGCACCAGTTCACTGAAACCGAACATTTTTGAAAACGCCTGCCAGGGTGAAGATTTTCAAAAACTCCGGTTGCAGTGTTATCGTGTAGACAGTGAAACCGGAGTTTTTGGCTTGTGACGTCGGCGCCTGCGCTGTTATCTCCGCCTACTGGAAACTTTTTCAGGCTTCTGATTGGCCAACATGGCTTTACGGTTGAGATTATATCGCCACCTGTTGGTTTGGCATGCACTTGACAGTGCTTCATAGCATGCGGTTTTCATGTGGACGGAGATTTTTTTAAAAATGGAAGAAGGAAAAACTCTGTTTATAAAAATACCCATGTACGTATGGACTTGGCCTAAATCTTCCTCCAAACGCATGAGTTTTATCACTGAAGAGCCATTCAAATTTATTTTCAGACATCCGCCGTGAGAAACAATTACTGTCCGTATAGGGCTAAAGATAAACTGAAATATTTCTGATAAACTCAATAACATGTCAGAGATCTGTCATGTGACAGCTTTGCTAAATGAATGGCACAAGATGTATTAGCGTCCCTAGGCTAGCAATGAGAGTTGTGTTTTTCTGAAGCCTCACCTTTCCTCTGGAGATTGCCCTGCAGGCGATGCGCACTATGAGGTACGACCAGAAGGTGTGCAGGGCCTGCAGCAGGACGAGCAGCACGTTAAACACCCACCACGACGGGTACGGCCCAACAATCTCCCAGCTCTCAAACACAGTGCTGTTTAAAATCCTGCAAACACATTTCATTACAACAATATATGATATTTCATTAGGACAAGTATATTCAACAAATATGGCTTCAAACCCCTCACGTGAGATCAGTTACATTAAAAATAAACCCTGCCATAGTCGTTGCTGCATGTCACCAGCCACTGTACTAGTAGACGTTACTAGTTCTGGTTGCCCTAGTAACAGATATAAAAAAACGTCAGTACAGGTAATTAATTTTTGTAATTTTATTAGTGTAGTTTTTGTTACTTGAAATAAAATTCGTTAACTGAATATAAAGTGAAAACTTTATTTCAGCTAGTTGCCAAGGCACAATTTCTCATTTTAGTTTTCCTTAATGTACCAAAATAACTAAAACTGACATAAAAATTACTAAAACTCTATAGACATTAGACATATTAAAAAAATAACTACAAAAAAATTACAAAAGCACTCAACAAAATGACTAAACTTTAACTAAAATAAAATAACAAAAATAAAAATGGATTCAAAATATTAATAAAAACTGTAATAGTATTTTATTTTCAATAATACTAATATTTAAGTTTTCATCTAATATTTATTTTATATCAGCTTTATTTCAATAAAGAAAATAATTTTTACTAGTTTGTTTTAGTTAACAATAACAACACTAGTTGTAGTTATTTCTTGTGGTAATCGACATTGTCACAAATGCGCAGCTCCATTTTAGCCAAAGCCTGTTTATTTGAGATGTTAAATGGTCTAATGAAATCAAGTTAAAAATAGTGGTTTTATTAAAGCACAATGCTATTTCTTTCAGTGATTAAATGCCCATTATAGCTGTAAAAAGCACAAGGCCATCTGTTTCTCTCATTCTCATCGACACTACTGCTGTAGCCATAGTAACTATTACTTGGCAACATCATTGACTGAAGGTGTCAAAACCTGAAATGAAAATGCTGGTAAAGATGATAAAATAGAAGATTTGAGATATACAGATGAGAATGAGAGGTTCAGAGGTGTTCAGATGCCAGCGTGAACATTATTAACAGCACATCATCTGTTACTGACAGGAAAGGACTGACTTACCATACAGGATACACTCCCAGCCTGGAACTGATGAACACCAGGGCAAACATTACGAACAGGACGTTGCAGAGTCTCTGGCATTTGCCGTAGTTGGCCATTTTAGCAGCCTACAAACACAATTTGCTGCATGATTTATATCAACACGACAGACATCTAATGCATGTAAATAGCACATCTTGCATCACCTATCTTGATTCCTGATTGTACAATATAATGGAACAGATAACATGGACCATAAAAAAAATCCATAAAGTCATTATATGGATAAGTAACAAAATTAGTAAAAAAAATAAATAAATAAAAAAAGTATTTTTAAAAATTTTCTTTATTTTTTTCACATTATGCATCACAGTAACATGGCTGTAGGTTTTGACATATATATTAATAATTCACAGAATTGTGTCTTTTCTGTGGTTTTAATGGCTGTGATAGGAAGTCACCTCCAGCAGGACGTCGGCAGCATCATGCAGGCACATGACCAGCGTTCCCACCCGAGCCATGTTATTCACATATGAGAAGGTGATCAGACAGATGGTGGCCACATGATGCAGGAACATCAGAAGAAAGTCCTGCAGGAAGTCACATGGAAAGTGTAAACATTTTATGTACTTTAAACCTACAAGACAAACATTCCTACTATGCAGTACATTTTCCTGTCCTCATCTTAATACATGGATCAAATATTAAAGCCATATCATATTACTTAAAAAAAAAAAAAAAGAAAATCACAATATCACCATTAAATGAACACAAGTTTGATTTTTAAATCACCGACTGTGGTTTGAGATCAGATTTACTTTAACAACATTTCCAAATAGTATCAATTTCAACTTCAAATCAGGGATATAATTTAGGGCCCTATGAAATGTTTTATTTTTTCCAAATTCCATTTTTTCCATTAACATTTTTCTGGGTTCTGTTTTTTCCCCCCGGTATTAATTGACTCCTTTTTTGTAATGGTTTAATTAAATTTCATTTTAAAAAAGCATGCCTAATTAAGTAAAATAATAATAAGTGAAACCTATACAATTTAACATCAATTTATTAAAAGTTTAACAAAAAAATGCCCTTGACTAAAAATTTTTGTATTCGAGTAGTAGTTCATTTTTAGCAATTAGTCGACTAATCGCACGTTTATATTAATAAACCATATAATTCATAATAATGAGCCTTTAATTGCCTATCAGCGCTCAAGCGCATGCATAAAACTTTGCACAGCACACCGGCAGAAGTAATGATTATGAATGCATCAAGAAGACGTCCTTAACATTATAATAATTCACTGATAAACTAGTGTTTTCTGTATTTCCGGCGGCAGTGATGAAGTCGACGACACTGACTCGTCATCTCCACAGTGAATGTGCACGTTTCATATGGATTACATAATCTAAAAATATTAGTTTTCCATTTGAATTGGTTCATTTAAAAGTAGACATTTCACTTTCTATATATATATAAATGTCTGTGAGGCAAGCACAGAGTTTCGGTAAATTTTTTTTTTGACGTGCTGAAGTTCACAGAGACCTAGACGGCGGAAAGTGCACCCTGTTTGCTTTCATTATTTTACAAAAGCACAATGTTTTGTTGTTATTGTAAGTGCACAGAAATAAAAGTAAACCTTTTACAAATTCGAAAGATGTATTACTCTGTATTGATCACACCAGTGCCTCTAAGTTAACTGTCATGCAGTGAGCTCGCTACTCTTCAGCTTCCACACTCCGCACAAACACTTGAATAGCACACATTTTTCTAGGTTAACGTTAGAGCGAGCGGCCATGTAATGATGCTGCTACTTACATGTTTCAGATGATAAGCCACATTTGAGGTCGATGAACGGAACGAACGCTTGGTTGTCCGATGTACTGTAATTAGTAGAGCCCGACCGATATGGGTTTTTTGGGGCCGATACGATACCGATATTTGGGAGTAAAAAAAAAGGGCCGATATCGATATATCAGCCGATATTCTTCGTGTATATTATAGTACAGTACCAGTCAAAAGTTTGGACACTTTCCCATTCGTGTGTCCAAACAGTTGACTGGTACTATATATAGAATACAGTATATACATAAACAGAATATATATACATAAACACATTTTTTGCAATGATCACTCAAATGTGGTGATCAAACACTTATAATGACGTGACAAAGATATGTAATGATGGAGGCAGGGCATTTAACAATTTAACAATAAACTTTATTCAAAATGAGTCTGACATCAGTGCACTGAACAGTAAAGTTGAATTACGGAGATATGGCCGTTCAAAGTTTCAATGGTTTTCCATAGACTTAACCTTTAAAGCGTTTCATCCAGGTCACCAGTAGCAAACAATGGAGCGCGCTCTGCTGGACAAACTAAGTAATTACACCATTTCAAGCATTTTATCTGCGTTATATGTTCTGTAAAAAAATTTTCATATCGGCGGCGTATCGCCTGCATATTCGCCGATACCGATATATCGGTGACAGGCTCATATCGGCCGATAATATCGGCTAAACGATATATTGGCCGGGCTCTAGTAATTACCACATAGTCCAGCTGTTAATGATCTGTCCGCCACGACTATGTGACTTCGCCACTTCCTGTGGAATGTGTTTTTTTTTCTGCAACTAATTAAATTTTGGTCGACTAACCCTCTCCTCGTCAACTAACGGTTAGTCGACTATTAGGGGGCAGCCCTTTTTTCTCTCATGTTCTGTTTTATTGTTACCAAATTCTGTGTTTAAGCATGTCAAATTATTTGAATGCATAAAAACAACTTAATTTATTAATATTTATTTTTACAATAGCCCTATGATTTTTTTTCTCTCAGAAATTCTATTGTGTATTTAAATTTTTCTGGTTATCAAATGAAGGCATAAAACATTAATATATCTTTTAATAAAATGAAAAGGAAACAAACTCTTTTATGTTTTTGTCAAACAAAGGGGGTTTACTATTAAAATTAAAACATGGAAGTAATATAGTAATGTATTTCTGTCACGATTTCTTTTCTTTTGACGGGTTGCCATGAGGACCTTTGAGTTTCCATATGCATATGATATGATGATAGTTTTACTCAAACGAAACATGCATACAATACACAAAAACATACAACAAAATTACTATAACTTTCACAAATTAAAATGAACGCTGATCATTTCAAATAAAAACAAATGTAAAATTAATAAAAACATTAATATTAATACATATTTATTGATTAATAAAAACAGATTTTTTTTTTAGTATATCAATTTTACTAAAAGAATACTGCTTCAAGTTGACTCCCTGATGAAAGCGCTAACTGCTAAACCCTGACTGAGCAATCAATGACTAAAAATAGCTCTTTATTTCCTACTTGTTAGTCATTTGATTCATTTTCTTGCCATTGTGTAAATAATCAAGCTATAATTAAAAACGTTTATGTGTCTGAGCTTGACCAAAGATATTTCTGGAAGTCTGTCACACCCTTTTATATAAATAGTGTTTTTTTAATTATAACAAGCATATTCAGGTTTTTAAGAGTCAAAAATGTCCTGCAGAACAGGAAGGACTAATTCAGGTTTGCATAAATTTCATATAGCTACAGCATATCACTTTATTAGCAACTTTATTCACAACTTGCTAATGTGTGCATAAGAAACCATGAATCAACTTAAACCGCTTAAACACTGCAAGATAAAGGAGGAGCCTTCAGTGTCCTCACACTCTATTCTCACTGAGGAAATTCTGTTGAAGAAAGCTCTCAAGAGGCCAGGTGTTGATGATGAAGATGAGGAGGAAGTGCAGTGGGGTGAAAAACAGAATGGAAGCATGGCAAACGAAGAGAAGGGTGTACACTGGTGAGGCGGGAATGGGGCAGAGCACATCCTCAATGCGTGCACGGAAAAACTGAAAGGAGAGAGCAAAGAAAAACAAGATTTGCATTTCCTGAAGGAAACAGCAGGGCATGCAAGGCAGAAAAAAAGATAGTATTTGAGTTTTAGGTTGTACGTAGGTTTTGAGGTTTTTTACTGTCAGAACATGTCTTGTTTGCAGTCAGCTGTACATTAAAGAAAAATTATATATACACACACACACAAATACTTTTATTGCTTTTCTTAATATTTAAATTAGATTAATTATTAATATAATTTATATTTTGTTTTCATTTTAACTAGTCAAAAATCTTTAGTTAAACTAAATGAAAATAAGAAATGTTGCCTTGGCAAATAGCTGAAATAAAAATGTATATAGCCAAGCTGAAATAAAATGTTTTATTTATTTTTTCAATTTAGTTTCAAGTAATGAAATTTATTCATGGTTTTAGTATTTAACAATAATAATCTTGATAAGTAAGTTTTTAAAAAAAATATTTTACTTAATATCAATTAATGTTTACCCAATGTTTTATTAGTACCATAATAACCTTGATAAATATATTTTTTTGTATTAATATATATGTAACGTTTAAGTTTTTTATATTCTATTTTATATCAGTTAATGTTTTTTGTTAAGTAAGAAGTTTTTTGATTTTAGTAATTAACAATTTTATATATACATACATATATACACTAAATTAATTGCAGAAGTTTAATATGTAGAGTTAGCAGTTTCCAACAAACCCTAACCAGTATGTGTTGCCTTGCAAACAGTGTAAGAACAGGAAAAACATGCCAACAATGAGCAGAGAAATGAGAGCGGCTGAGTGCATGAGTCTGGCTCTGAGGGGCTGTGAAGGAAAGAAGAGAAAGAAAATCTAGAAAGCACAGACTGCAGGTGCTAACTGTCCATCTGTTCAAACACACAGGCTGAGAATCTCCTGCGTTACACCACAAAACCAATACGGCTGTGACGGAGAGCGTTTATGTCAGCTGCAGGAGAGCACTTTTACATTGAGAGGACACTGCTGTAATCAACACGGGACAATTACACAGCCTGTGGAGCTCAATGAAGCTTTTGAGAGCGCTGAGGGCAGTCTGGATTTTAGTTTACATTTGCATTAATTTACATGACATTTGTTTAAGACTGACGCTGTGTCTCAAACAGGCGCAGCATGAGAAGGTTACAGCGTCAAGTAATTTGCCCGTCCACACTGAAAGCAAAAATGATGTGCAAACAGCCAAACAGAAGATAAATGATGTTAATGTAACATTATGAATTATGTGATTTAGGATTTTGGACCAATAAGATTTGACAGTGAGCGGAGCAACCAAGTGTGGCCTGAAGAAACACACACCGTGCAACTGACAGAATGTCTCATTGAAACTGATTAGGAAAAAACTGCGGATAAAAAGTTATTTTGCAATAAAATCATCCTAAATGCAAACGTATAACAGTTTCCCAAAATGATTTGGTTCATGTGCACAAAAAAGATTCCTGACTTTAGGTACTTGGCTATTATTTTATTAATTTATTTATTCAAAAGTCTGAGATCAGTAAGATTTTATATATGTTTCAGAAAGAAGTGTCTTGTGCTCACCAAGGCTGCATTTATTTGATCAAAAATTCAGAAAAAAAAACGTAATACTGTGAAATATTATTACAATTTAAAATAACTGTTTTCTATTTGAATATATTTTAACATTTTATTTATTTTTGCAAAGCA